GTAGATCTGTATTTCGGTGCTTAAGGTTGCGTTTGGTATTAATATAATATAAATAATTAAATTCTTTTTTTAAATTAACCTGAAAATGGAATATGAATATCAGTAAACAGTATTTTTGACATAGATAAATGTATTTGGAATATAATATATGGTAATATTTACTTATTTTCATGAAAAAAAAATGAAGAATTTCAAATAGAGTTTATAATATTGTTTTCGTAAATCCGATGTTAAGCTCGATCAGTTATCTACGATTAACAGCCTAGTACATTCTGGTTATACTTCTAACATAATATACGTATTTTATATGTTCGAAAGGTAGTTTTGATTCATTGATAATGATTTAATTCAAATCGTTTACAAGGGGTTCCTTTATATAGAGAAGTATGTGGAGGTCAAATACGTTATACTTTTCGTGATTTTCTCAGCTAACTTGTAATGAACGATGGAAAAAAAAAATAACGTTTGTCTTTCTCCCAATCACCATGTTTACCAAAATATATCTCTATTATAGTGCGTGACAAGATTTTGTGAGGTAGACGTATTCGGCCTTAACATAATCAAATTGAATTGTTATGTTAAAGAAATCCACAATTACAAAACCTATATATCTGGTTTGGCATAGTTTTGCAATCTTTCATTAGCGTATTTTAAGAAAAATAGACAGTAATAAACGTATTTACACTTTTGGTATTTAGCTATATTTTGCCTCCGAATGACATTAGATCTACTCCGAATCACCTTTTGACGTCAGGCAACAATCACGTTTTAATTGTGACGTCAAATGTTTTGAATTATGATGTCAAAGTTTACAGGAACCTGTGTGATTTTACGTAATGGCGGACAAATTTGCATACAAGTGTAAATACGTCTATTTGTGCTTCAAACGCCAACACAGACTTTAATAACAAATTTGCCTTGTGAAGCGTTAATATATAATAACAAAACAATATAGAAATAAATATTCATAGTAAAATAATTTCTTAAAAGACTGCAAAAAGTCTCATTCTGATTTTTTCAGTTGTATTGTCATTAAGTGCGTTCAAATGAAACATGGTACAACAAACATCGAATTCCCTCCAAAAATGTTATCGGAAACTACAGTACTATAGACAATATTAGAAAAAATAATGAAAATACAGAAGTAAGCACTTTTTTTTAATCGGGGCGTCCAACGCGCTTCCTTTGAATTCTTTTCGTGGGACATGTTGTCAATCTAGAATTATAATAACTTTGCAGTTAAGATGAAAAGAATTGGCAGGCCTGATCAGTGTAAGATTGAATGCATGCACATTTTCAATGAGAATTCGAACATACCAATTAATAATTATGTTTTAGATACAAGCTCAGTGATCTACCGGTTAAGGCTACAATATGATTTTTAAAAGAAACTTGCAATCGCCAAGTAAAAGACTACAACTTATAATTAGCTGCGGGACAAGGTAAATGAAATACATTTAAACAGTCATTTGGGAGTATCTTATCCTGGTATCTATGATGAGTTTATCAAGTAGTCAGGCTTATTTGGAGGGTTTCAATATGGATGAGAAGGTAGGCAAATTAAATAATCTTTTTTTTTGCATTAATCGGAAGACTTTGCAGTACCTAAATAGCTTTTTTGGCTGAATGGATATGTAAGACTCCTAACCTAGATGGGCACGCTGGAGTGTGGTCGTCTGACGCTTAAGTGCGTTTTTATCACGCTGAATTACGTTTGAGGCATTTTGACAGCATCTTTTTGTGATTTTTATGCAGGTCATCGAGATTATGTTCAAAACGTATACGATAATCACATAATCCTAATTTGTATGGTAAACAGGCGTATTGTAGAGTAATGATTCATTTAACGATTTTTTTATTACTACCATACACATGCATACCATCAACACCATCGAGAAAATTTTGGGGATACAATAGAAAATGTGCCTGGAGATCAAACATGCTTCCAACTTATAAGGCGGCATCAATCAGGTATAGAAACAACCATACCAGAATATATTATGAGAAATTGTCTAGTTGCAACAACTCTAGATACACAAGGAGTGGTCTTTGCTGAATACTTTGGTGAGCAGCTGGTCCCGCCACAAAATAAACTGGGATATAATGACAATTTAAAAAATAATGGTCAGAGGCGGGTTACTTTTACTAAGAAAATATAAAAATAAAATATATCAAAGAAGAAATAAAAAAAGTAGTTACCATAGAAGAGACTTAACAGAAAATACGGAAATTAAACAACCGTAAAACATTGGATAAATATAGATTCTACCACTGCATCGAGTGTGATACGATATTTATCCACTCGAGACAGTTAAATTTTCAAATTTAAAACGCGAGGCTCGCCGAGCGTTTTAAATATTTAAAATTTAACTGTCGAGAGTCGATAAATATCGTATTACACGAGATTTGGTGGTGGAATCTGTTTCTCTAATGATTTTCAAACAATATGCAGGCAAAATTATTCCGTCTTTTTGAATGATCTGTAAAAAGATGTGTTCTTTCTATGTGACGTCATCAGGCATGGTCGCCTTTTTTCATGCCGTCACAATAGGAAATTCAGAGGAAAGCAAGAACATTCGACGTCATAATCGGATTTTAACCAATGAAGAACTGAGATCAAACGAACCACACGTTGATTAAATTTGTTTTATACAATGGGTGCAGAAAGGGATAAATTGACGAAGAATTAGAGAAATATAGGATAATAGCCGAATATATCATGCAAATAATACACAGGAGGACAAGTTACAATAGTATACTGTTATATAATCAGTCAAACATAAGAGGATGCAATAGTAGGTAGCAATTAAATATGCTTAAAACATGCGTTAGATTTTGTGTCATGGATCATTCTACCCGATATCCTTTCTTTTCTATTATTTTACTCCAATTTTTGAAAAAAAAGAGTAAAAGACCCAAAGAAAAATGAAAATCGGTAAAAGTAAATCTGTTGTACCCATCATTCACATGCAAGTTTCTGATAAATTTTGTTTCACTTAACAAAGGTACTCAACTTGCATTTTCGGTCATGAATTTGTCTGTTCTGCTGTCATCACTGAATTCATTGTGAAATGAGGACATGGTTTTTTCTTGGCCTAATTGGAAGGCCAACCACGAATCATTTCAGACAGCCAAAATTCCACACATGTTATAAACCATTTAACAGATAAATTAGTTTAGATTTACTGCGTAGTAAGATTTATTGGGACTTAATTACCTTCTGAAAATATATAAATAATGAAAAATCTCGACCAAATGTAATTTCACGAAATTCAAGATAAGTACCTTGTGTTAGACCGTGTTCACACCAGACGTCGCGTACTGTAAACCTGTTTAGAATTAGTTTCATGTAATGAACACTGGTTTCACATTAAAGTTGTACATCGGTTTTTATTACATGTGTACACATGATAATTGTTCAAACATGCATTCAACATGTACACGTAATTTACATGTACAATTCATTTATTTTTTTTATTATTTTTTTAGTTATTTTCTTTCTTTCTTTTTTTTGGTGTGGGTGGGGTAGATAAATTGTATTAATACATTTGTTTCAGCAGGTAAGTGATAAAAATCGTTCAAGTCCTTTTGAAATGAAGGGTAGGAGGATTCAACATGGAGTTTAAAAATGTTGCTGTATGTTATTGAAAACACATTTCTGTTCTTTTATTAATGTGAAAAAATGGTTTGTCCCACGAAGATGCATGAATGGTCAATGCCTTAAGAAAATTGTTCTATTGATTTGGAGAAGTTTGAGAGTTATAAATTAAAGATGTCACGATTACGCAGGCTAAAACAGCGTAATAATAGGCGAAAAAAGGATTTTGAAAATGCAAATAGTTCATGCATGTTTAGGACCAGAACAAATTACAATAAACAATAGGTAGGTCTTGTAATAGAGGCCGTCCAGGATGAAGATCGAGGAAATATGGACTGTCATTGGAAATTAAGAGTACATTGGATAAATATTCAGTCGCAACAATCCACCAACGGACCCCTTAAAGAGTTGTTTCAAGGGTTCTCTTCACGAGTCATCGGATTTAATGTCCCCATTCTGACCGGAAGTGGCTGAGTACTTGTACCTCTGGACATCCAATCGGACACCCCACTTTTGCAAAGGTTTTTAATTTCTGTCGATCGGAAGAAGACCTAAGTGACCATATTTCTTTTCCCCAGTCACCCTTGTGATGATTTTGGAATGAATATTCTGGACTGGCCCTAACTGTTAATTATTTGTATAAATGTCGTTATTATGATGATAACGGTGTGTATCACCAACTATATTCAGCATCCACTTCACCTTGTTGTTTTGGTATAAATTAAGTTTTTAGATAATAAATTAAAAGAAATAATATTTTGCAAATTCAACAACATTTAAAGGATACTTTTATTTGAGATTTTACATTTAATCGCATATATTCATTAAATAGTCCAAACTTTATGTAAATATTTGTCTGGGTTGACATAAGATGGTCCCAGTTGACTTAACATAGTCGGTCCAAAATTTATCAGGGCCTACTTGTCCCATAATCATCATTAGAGTGTTTGGCAGATCATGATTATTTTGACTTCATTTATTAGTATTAATAAATCAGACTGAATATTCAATATAAAAAGAAAATTCTAATATTAATAATTTTTTTAATATTAAAAGTTCACTTATTAATATTTAAAAAATGACAGGAATTTTTAATATTTAAAAATTCGATTTATTAATATTAAAAATATTTTTTTTGTAATATTAAAAAAGGGTTTGTGAATATTAATAAATGTTTTTTTTAATATTAATACATAAGGAAAAAATTCCACAACGGCTTTCCATTTTATTACCTTGTCTGAAAAAGGATGAACATGAATATTTTCCCCCTACAATTTGCAGGATTTGGCAAGAAATAGTGATATACAAAAAAAAAATACTATAAAATGTAGCTGCTAAAGTCAGACAAACTTTTTCAAAAGCTAATACTTGTTTACAGTTTACATCTGTGTATTATCTCCCCTTTTATGGCGCGTGATTACAATAACAATCACAAATATGGCAAATTATGGTACGAAAAGGAAGGGAAACGGTGATAGTGTTTATAATTCTACATTTAATTGTAAAAAGAAACAACTTTCAGCCTCCTTGATGAACCAGGAGGATCTAGATGCAATGGGAATTTTCTACGACACAGAAGTCACAGCGATGACCGATTTATTGAAAATGCTTAAAATATAGGAAAAGTAGAACGTCATTCCCAGAGGTTGCCAAATATTTTATTGACCTTACAGATGAACACTTGAAATTTTCTCTTGATTTAGACAATATTCCTAGTATAGATGAGGAATCTGCACCAGCTATTGAGGAAAGAGAGCTGGTAGAGTACCTTGTGGAAGATTCAAGGAACCTAGAAAAGGTTCGTTTGAATGAAATGAAGAAATGGGATTTTGAGAAAGATGCTCTAAAACTTGTGCAAGTACATAAATATTATTCCTTAAGCAAAGGTAGCATATATACAGAATCTATGACAGTTCCCCCATTACCAAATCGCCTTAATTTTCTACCAATTTCACCCAACTAATCCCATTGAATACACCTTATACACCTTATCGCTATTCCCGGCTGACCCGGCCGCTTGAACTTTTGACGTCAACAACAATCACTTTTCCATTGTGGCGTCAGATATTTTGTTTTATGACGTCAAAATTTTACGGGAACCTGTGTGATATCCAGTAATGGCGGACAAATAGCGATAAGGTGTATTGCTATTTGAAAGTCTGTGCTGCTTGACTGGAGCATCTGCAACACTTGAACTATTAACATCATACAACAATCACTTTTCCATTGTGGCGTCAGATATTTTCTTTTTTATGGGGAACCTTTGTGATGTCCAGTAATCATGGTAATGGTGTGGACAAATAGCGATTTAGTGTATTACTATTAAGACCTGCCAAAGTGCCCACTATTTAAAACAATCTATACCCCCACTACATGCACAAGTTTAAAGCCATAAAAGGACTTTAAACCTGCTGTAATTTGCAGGATTTCAGCTGGCGGTAGCCATTTTTGACTTTTGCAAAAAAATAGTACATTGTAACAATGTAATGTCATGAATGTAATTGTGGCCTGGTGGCGATTAAAAATCCTGATTGACATCCCTTATGGAAAAAAAAGGCTTCTTGCAAATATTTGCGGCAATGTTGCTGCAAATATTTGCGGCAATATTGCTGCAAATATTCATTTTTCGTATGTAAATTAGTTTTCTTGCAAACAGTTGCTGCAATATTGCCGCAACAATTTGCGGCAATATTGCAGCAAATGTTTGCGGGAAAATCAGTAGCTATGATTGTTGCAGCAATATTGCGGCAAATTCATTAGCTGCAATGTTGCAGCAATATTGCAGGAAAATTAATTTCTTGCAATATTGCAGCAACATTGCAGCAGGAACATATATATTGACGGGACTTGACACTACCTGATTGTAGTCGATTTTATCGTCGTGCCATAGTTAATAAAGATACGATACAGAAACAGACATGTGTTAAAACGGACTCGCTATTATCCTAATAATTTCAGATATTATCAATAAAATGTCATTCAAACTAGTTTTATAGTGATGCTAGTGTATCAAACTTGTATTCTGTCACTTCAAATTTGTTAAAATCGCAAGCATTTCATCACAGAATTGTGCAGAATGCAAACAAGGTAATAAAAAAATGGCGGCCATTGCCGCGATGATTTACAAATTCCCAAACTATTATAAAACACTTAATTCACATCAAATAAATCAAACTTATTTTGGTAATTTTATATGACAAAATATATCTTCTAAATGATAAAACTTGTATTTATTTACAATTAGAGTTATGTGGTTTATTTGTTGAGCAGTTCTGATAGTTTTTCAGTCAGACGCTACCAAAATCCGTAAATCTAGGGAAGTCTCGAGGAGTCCGAGATTTTATCAATTTTATACTGAAAAGCGTATCAGATTCATTTCCCGTTAGATATACTGTCCCCAGATTGCAGCAAATCTTTCAACAATTTCAGTTGAAAAATTAGGAATTAAAAACTAAGCATTTAAAAAAGTATGATTTAATAATAAAACAAAATTTTCTCTGTCCTCTATAGGTTGTTGTGTTACATATCTGTGTATCCTTTAGTTCTGTTTCTCTGTACTCACTGTCCTTAAAGTTGAATTTTCTGATTTCAAATACTGCAAAATAAAAGTTGAAGAATTTAGCATACATTAAAAGAATAACTAAACATTATAAAGATGTAAAGATATAAGTTACTACTATATATTGTAAATTCTGGACTTGTAAAATGAAAATAACTCTTTATAAAGAGATGATTACAGACCAATTTTTCCAGCATTTGTTTCACTTAAAAGGTTCGATCAATGTCTAAAAGTGATCAAGTCCTTCTAGAAATTGCATATTACTATAGAATACATTTAACCTTATGCCAGTTCTAGGTTGTTATTGCTTTTTTGAATATTTGTTTTTCATTGAAGTATAACATAATTGGTCTTGTCTATTCTTTAAATTTTTTGTGATTAGTTGTGTATATATAAAAGCTAAATATTGTTGCCATTTGCTGATAGACCTCTTATTGGCAGTCAAATCACAGATCTCTAATTTAATACCAAACTGCTTTTATTAGAAGATTTCTTGTTTCAATTTAAGTAATGTACTTTCTAAAACAATTTTTTATAGTCTTAAAAAGATTTAAAAAAATATCTCCTGTCTTACACAATTTTAATAATATTCATGTGCATAAATCTATTGTCTTATACTTTTGTCAACTCTATTAAGTTAAGAAAACTCTTTAAATATCACTATTTTGAACTGTAAGAGCAAGCACTTATTCAAAATGGTGGACATTCAACTCCATTGTACTTACCAAAAGATGTTATCCAAATTATGTGTAAACACCAATCTTCCTAAATCCAAGAGTCATGTCAACTGAAGGCTATCATATGCACTATCCAGTGTCAATAGAATTAGTTGGAACTTTTGGATCTAAATCCATTGTAAAATTCATATTACTTTGTTCATGATACATGTAGAAGACATCTTTGTTTGTTGTATGCATGTTCATGTCCAGTTCAAATTTTGAATATGTTGATCAAGGTTGCTTAGGGTATTGTGACAGTGTGATCCCTTTGAAATTTGCCCCTAATTATAAATATCAATTGCCTAAATCTTGAATATTTGTTATATATTATAATAAAAAAATAATTATATATATATTTTTTTTTTATCTTTGATGTTATAAGTTATAATGGAAATATATACAAAGAAGAAATGCTCTACCCTTAATTTGGCTTCAAACTCTGTGTACATTAATTTATGGTACTTCCTGTCTTTACCACTACACAGAGATAAATGGAAACCAGATGGCACATTACATTTCTATCACCAGCTCATATTACTAATTGAGATGAGAAAGATAATTTGTGTATACATAGTTTTAAAATAATGATACTAGAAATTAAACAAAATGCAACCTGCAGGTGAGGCTAAATTCATTTGATGGAAAATATTAGAATTAAAAATATTGTTCATAGAAAAATGTCACAAAAAAGTGACAAAAAGGCATAATAATACATGTAGAACAAAAATTATAATAATTATGACTCAATTATTTAGATTAAACTTGTTGAAATAAATACCAAAGCATTCTTGAAATTCTTTCCTTACAAAATATCACATAAATGTGATGTACAGTTTAGGAATTCTAAAAATATAAGCATTGTTATTTGAAAATTTATTTAAAATAAATTATTCAAATATCCGGATATTTCTGAGTAAAATAAAGTATGACGACAACAAATTTAGATAGTTAGAAGTATCCATAACCAAATGTTCAAAGAAACAATATGTTGTGTATTATTTGAACCTTAAATCTTAAAACAAATAATCATACAATGTATGTAATATATTTTAAAATGCTTGAAATATTGGTGCAAACTATCTGATTGTCTGACATTTTTAAAGAAACTTTTCTTGCAAAGTTGTTGCAATAAGTCATTCCTTAAATAATAAAAGAAAAGGTTCCTGCAACTTTCTAGCAAACAAATTCTTTCTTGCAACATTGCAGCAAACTTGCGGCAATTTTCTTGCAAACAAATTTTGTTGCAGTAACATTGCGAGAATGTTGCAGGTAGCTGCAACAACCTGCAACTTTCTTGCAAACACTTCTTGCAAACAAATTTGTTTGCTGCAATATTGCCGCTATATTGTTGCAATATTGCAGCAAACTTTTCATTTCTGTAAGGGATAAGTTTGAATTCGTCCATCTTGTTAATTTTGTTTCAGGTTTCTCAGACTTTTCACTGTGAACTTGTCACACATATCGATTTCGACAGAAAAATAATTAACTAATTTATAAACATGATAAAGGTGTTAATTGTATTGTTTAATGAACATGTGATGTAAAATGACGTCCCATGTCACCTAAGGGAGCTACCATTTGATTTTTATGGGGAGGGGGGGGGGGGTCCAGGATGAAATTTGAAAAAAATAGGCAGGACAGGAGTTTTGAGTAAAAAAAAAGGCAGGATGAGCAACTTGGTAAAAAAAAAGGCAGGATGACAATTTGTGTAAAAAAATTCAGGATAATCTAGTAAAAAAAAGGCAGGACCGAATAGAGTAAAAAATAAAATGGCAGGACAGAGATTACAATTAAAAAAAAAAGCAGGACAAAATTTTTCATCCTAGCCCCCCCCATAAAAATCAAATGGTAGCTCCCTAAAGGATTGTTTTAACAACTTTGATAAAATGAATTGTTTTGAAGAGGGTACTTCACATCGTTATAGAGGCACACCTGTTTAAGTTTAGGGTTTATGTCTCAACTTTTTAGTTTTAATGGCCCAATTTATTCCTTGTACTTTAACTAGGCAGGACATACATGTATCTAATAAACTGATTGATGAATTTCTGTGTTCCTAGGCCTGGAAGTCAAATTTTACAGTATCTTTGAAAAATTACAAGAAATTTTTGTTCTAATTTAGTGTTCCTAAATGGTCCGAGTACACAGTTATTTCGTAGTGCATTTCTTTTAGAGAATAAATGAAAATTAAAAAAATCCCACCTGCGCTTTCTCAATAATATTTTTACAGTGTGTTGTACTACTTTTGGGACAAATTATATCAAAATTATAGAAAACTTCATCGGCTCTAACTCAAAATATGGACAATTTCATGTTAAGGGGGTCTTCAAATCTTTTGACAGCTTCCGAAGTACTAATTTTTAACATTTTTCAGCTGGACCAAATCACTACTTTACTTTAAAATTCATGACCCAAATTTTTTTACAGTGTCATTTCACCCCCCTACTTACTATTTGAGTCATAAAACATGGAGAAATAAATTTGGAAGGGGTATAAAAAAAATCGACAAGTAACACACTGTCCACACTAGGGACTATATTCGTGGACAACGAAAATCAAAGGACGATAACTGTGTACCCGGACCTATTAGGGTAGAAAAAGTTGACCAATCTTAATGAAACTTGGTATGACCAAAGCTTATTAAATTATAAGACTGCTTACAAAGTTTCATGGCAATAGGATATATATTATAGACAATATGACTAATTCTATATTCAACTTTGCGTGTTAAATTTAGACGTAAAAATTGAAAATTTTCAACTATCAACATTTGGGGCTTAAAAAATTAAAATATTGCAAAAAAATACTTTTGAAATGCCTTGATATATAATATATTATATATTAAAAGCAATAGAGTACTCATTTGATTTATCAGACTTATCATAATTATTAAAAAGTCAAATTTATATGAGCCTGTGGCTAAAAATGGAGGTTTTCCAATGAAGGGGGGCCTTACTTGAAGATGTAATATTTTCCAGCAATTTTAAATTTGTAAAGCTTTTTGGTTATAAATAATCCTTACATATGTATTTAATGTACTATAAATGGAAAGAAAACTTACAAATAACATATCACATTAGTTTAAAAGGGTCTTAGGCCAAGTAAGACTGAAAATAATTTAGGGTCAATTTAGGCCGTATCACATATTTACATTTAAAAATGCATATTGAAGCTATAGGAAATAAAATTTTGTGTCTTTTCTATCATTTTTATACTCAGGTGACATGATACAATAAATCTGAGCACAAAAAGACTCTTGCATTCAACTTTTTTTGCAGACAGTATGGTCTGATACAAAGATTTTTCACTTTTTAGTGAAAAACATGCATGCAATTTTAGTCTCAACAGGCTTATATTTGAACCACTTGCTATCCTACAGAAGAAAAGAAAGATATTATGTGACATAAAACAGGTACAAGGACACTGTTAAGTGCTTTTTATACAAATTTAGTGAGGTCTTTATAATGGACTTCAACTTTTATGTTCCAAGCTCCTCACATTTAACTTGATCCAAACAGGGCGTTAGACAAGGATCATATATACAACACATTTTGAACATATTGTCCGAGATAATCTTCTTTTCTGTAGATTCAGAGTTCACAAATGAGTAATACAACTGGATTGAAGCATAGAAACACAAATATTGACACATAAAAACCTGTCAGATAGAAAGTCAGAATGCCACTTATGCATCAAAATTGAAAAAGCTATGAAATGCTTATTTTGACCATAAAATGCCAAAATTGGTCATTTTTGCAGAAATTCTATCAAATAAAAGTTTAAATCCTTTAGTTTTATGCTATTTGATAAATTGACACCATCAAATCATTCAGGGAAGTTGCCAAAGTACAGATTCTATATTTCCTGATTTCACCTCTTAGGTCCGAGTACACAGTTATTTCGTAGTGCATTTCTTTTAGAGAATAAATGAAACTTAGAAAAATCCCACCTGCGCTTTCTCAATAATAATTTTACAGTGTGTTGTACTACTTTTGGGACAAATTATATCAAAATTATAGAAAACTTCATCGGCTCTAACTCAAAATATGGACAATTTCATGTTAAGGGGGTCTTCAAATCTTTTGACAGCTTCCGAAGTACTAATTTTTAACATTTTAGCTGGACCAAATCACAACTTTACTTTAAAATTCATGACCCAAATTTTTTTACAGTGTCATTTCACCCCCCTACATACTATTTGAGTCATAAAACATGGAGAAATAAATTTGGAAGGGGTATAAAAAAAAATCGACAAGTAACACACTGTCCACACTAGGGACTATATTCGTGGACAACGAAAATCAAAGGACGATAACTGTGTACCCGGACCAAATTACAATGTACATCATGTACATCGTGGGTTAAAAATAGATATGCCAGGTATGTACATATGGAATAAGAAAAGAAACAATGCTGCAAACTGGATTTGTTTGTTAGCCAGGAGGAAAATAAGTCCTAAACAAAATTCTGTTTATCTTGGTTGATGACAAAAAATTGAGAGTGGCGAAAAAAATATTGTTTTGGCAAAAGAGGTGGCGAAAAAAAATTGACCCAGGGAAAATTCTGAATTTGTCACGGTTTCATTAGCATGATGAGTGGAGCAAGTTGGTACACTCTGAATACAGTGGGGTTAAACTTCATTTCATTAGTGGGACGAGTTGGTAGATCTGAATTCAGCAGGATATGACTTTATTGTATAATTTTCATTAATGGCATGAATGGGGGAGTTGGTTAACTAGAGTGGGTTACATTATGTAAATTCAAATTGGTAAAATGTTGGGTGAGTTCAGGTCTGGGGCCATTTTTGCTGCAGAACTGTAACTCTAATAGTCCTTATTATGGTTTTTTTTTTGTGTGGACCATAGTCAATGATAGTTATTTATTCCAAAGTCAAACATTTTGTCAAATGAAAATAGGGTGTTTGACATGATACATTGTACATGAACATCTCTACGTATCAGTATTTCCACCTAGTTGTAGTACATGTAGTACTAATAGTTATCATGTTTATAAACACTAATACCGTATGCATGATATGTAAATTTGTATTTAAAAAGTGTAATGAATTTTATACACTGCATGTAGAATTTTGTAGGTCAAGTATACCTCAAGTCCAAATAATTATCACAGTGTTCATTTAAGTAGGAGAGTCACTTAAGCTTAGACATGATTACAGGTACATACATTTTTTGTACACAAGCGAAGCAAACAAGCTAAGATATATAAACACCATAAGATTTTCAATAGGAACATACCCATCAAAAAACGGAAAATACTAGACTCGGAAAATCAAAATCATGTTGTTAAGTAGAAAAGAAAGGATATGGGGTATCCATCCATGACACAAAATCAGTACATGCACAACATGAAACACAAAAAGCAAAGGAACAGCACTTTTATTGCAGTTCTTCATCTCAACTACAGGTTGAGGTCTTCAACACTGAGCAAAAATTACTGTCGCCTCACTGCAAGTTTAAGACGGACCTTGCACAGGTTTGAGTGGAATTCTTTGCAAACTTAAGATCACACATAAAACTGAGTTGAAGAATAAAGAGTAATATCAATAAGATTAATCTGGCAAAGAAATCAACCTTGTACTGTTACAATTTTGCCTGACATGTTTGTCATACATTGCTTCTCACTAAACTATGTTTATCTTTTTTCCATTACAGACTTTTTTCTGAATGGATATCTTCAGCAAAGAAATTCATTGAACTTACACAACATATGATTACACAGTCGATTTTGAGCAGAATGGAGAACCATGACCCATCCACATCAAAGGAAGTTGCCAATGAACATGATGAAGATGTAGGAGAAAACATATTTAGTGATATATTTGCAAGATTTACAGAAATATTTTTCCTACTTCCAGTGTATGTATACATTTATGTGATCATTGCAGTTCTGAGTAATCTCTCATGAAAAGCAAGCTATATATTAACTTGTATTATTGTAAATTCATACCATGTCAACTTGTACTGCAAAATAAACTTGTATCACTGCAAAGTCGACTGATGCAAACTCACACATCATCAGCTCGTACCATTTAAAGTGTCCAATGTACAACTGTTTAATGAAGTGTTTTTAAGAAATATACATACAAGTTGATATAATCTTTTGAGATTAAACTATTGAATTTTCTGCAGTAATATTATATTTTAAGCCTTATACAGGTCTATATGTTGTAGGTTCATGTTTTTGAAGTTCAGTATGAAGTGAATATCAGCATGAAACTTCAGCATATGATATATAAATAAGGAGATGTGGTATGATTACCAATGAGACAACTATCCACCAAAGTTCAAATGAAGTGGATGTTAGCAATTATAGGCAACCTTTCAACCTTTAATAATAAGAAAAACCGATATGGTATAGTCGGCTAAAAAGGCCCGGACATGAAAGATATGAAACAATTCAATTGAGAAAACTAATGGCCTATTTTACAACAAAATTATTTACCAAAACAAATATGACAGACATGAACCAAATTAAGATAACCACTGAACTACAGGCTCCTGATTTGGGACAGGCACAGAATGTGGCGGGGTTAAACATGTTTGTGAGCGCTCAACCCTCCCCTAACCTGTATGACCTGGGACAGTGGTGTAACAGCACAACATAAAAAACAAAATGTAAAAATCAGTTTAAAAAGGCTTAATTCAATGAGATCGATACAAAGTAGAAAACTCAACATGCTCAAGTAAGATTTATTCACAATTAAGGTCAAAAGGATGGTGTATGTATGGTCTCAATTTCAAGGTTGATTGATCATCATTTGTTTGCTTTTTATTATTTTACAGTACTGGTAGAAGAACTTCAATTTTGATGGATGACAAGATAGTTGGAAGTATGCATAACACTCGTTATTATGAGTATATTCCCAGAGGTGCTCCAAATCCAGTCCTATTAATGTTTTGTGAGGTAAATTAATTTTTATGCTTTTGTTGCTTTTTATATAAACACAAAAATTTATGATATGGTGCTGTTGTCAGTGTAGTTGATGTCATCGTCTATCACGTCTATTGACACTTTGGTATCTGCGCTTAAAGTTCAAATACAATATAAAAATAAGCAAATGTGGTATGATTGCCAAGGAGACAACTATCCACAAAGTTCAAATGAAGTGGATGTAAGCAATTATAGGCAACCGTACAGCCTTCAACAATGATCATTCCTTATATAAATTAAACACAATTGGCCAAAAACTGTGCCAGTTAACATTGGTGTATTCAGTTTTAAATTGTGTCTAATGACCCCACCTGTCAATCAACATGGCTGACATGGCTAATAATTGAACATAAGTGTTGTCTATTATTTTGAAAACCACTATAGACAGTGAAAATCAAACTAGAGCAATCATTTTAAGAATGCTTATATCTACTCTCTGTCTTTTTACATATAAACTGTCTTACGACTTCTGATAGAATTTATTGTCCTTAAATGACAAATTTTAACAATTTTTATCGGTTTTGCCTATTATCTTGGAAAATAAAATAGATAGACAGAAACTTAAAACAGAAAAATTATCAGCAAGACAGATTCTACAAATAACATGAATAAGTCAAACTCTTTTAAATTATTAGTTGACTCATTATTTTAGTTATTGCCCTTTTATAACGACTTTTACCATTTTTTGCGTGTTTGCTTTTCATCATGATTATATATAGATACACATAGATATGGAAACTTGAATGGCAAAAATAATCATCAAGACAAGATCTACAAATGAGTCAAAATGACAGAAATTGTCAGTTGACTCCTTATTGGAGTTATTATCCTTTATAAAGATGATTTTTACCAATTTTTGCCTTTTATATCTTAAAAACCATAACAGATAGAGAAAAACTTTAAACAGCAAAATTGATTAGCAAGACAAGATCTACAAATAATTCAACATTGGCCGAAATCTTCAGTTAATTCTTTATTGGAGTGATTGTATATATAAAAAAGAAGATGTGGTATGATTGCCAATGAAACAACTCTCCACAAGAGACCAAATGACACAGAAATTAACAACTATAGGTCACCGTACGGCCTTCAATGTCCTTGAATGACAATTTTTTACATTTTCGTGTTTTTGCCTATTTTCTTAAAAATATTTAAAAGACCGATAGAATTTTTTAAATAGCAAAAAAGATCAGCAAGACAAGATCTACAAATGAGGTACATTTGTACATGGCCAAAATTGTTAGTTGACACCTTATGGGAGAAAAATGTGTCCAATGACCCTGCCTGCCAATCAACATGGCCGACATGGTTAATAATAGAACATGGGGAAAAATGCAAGTTTTGTCTATTAATTTCGAAAAACCATGAGTTAATGCGGCACATAGGGGTAAATGTTATTATAGAATTATTTGAAACTTTGCAAATTTTTTAATGTTATCTACTGAAAGGTCATTGTTAAATTATTAGATATTTGATCAATAATCTAAAAATAGTTGGTTTAATGCAAATGTATCCAATATATTTTGTATGCCTGTTATTGCAGTTTCTCATTATTTTAGATTTTTTTTTTCATTTCTACCTTTTATTCTGTTGTGTACCCTTTCTTGGGACTCTGGACTGATCATATTTGTATACAGAGAATTAATCTCCCATAAAATCTCATTGTCTTTTGTTTTGAATTACAACATTGCTTAAATCGTGAATATGACTTCTACTACAGACTTACGATCTAATTAATTCCATTTGAATCTCTAAATAATTAAATGTAAATGCAGGTTATACATGTATTCATTAATCCATTGCATACATTCAGGTGCAACTTCGTTTACCAATTTTAGATTACTTAGGTCTTTAAACTCGTGAATTGGTAACGCTGTTTCCCTATATCATGGTCTTAATATAATTCACTAAAACTTTTATTTTTTTTAGCTTAATTCTTTAAAGATGTTGGTCTACCATGATTATATGTTTTGTACATGTTTTTCTTAATCAATAGAACTTTGCACTCCTGCACATTTGATAACATTAATGCAGAGTTATATGAACATGGGGCAGGTTTTGAAATGAGTTTTTGACAGACGGATAAATATTCCACTTCTTGATAAAAAGTAAATCATTGAAAAATGTGAATGTCAAGATTTGCACCAAAATAGCTTTCATTCTTACTTTATATAACAAATTTACTAAAAAAAAATTGTGAACCCTGTAGATACTGCCTCTTTTATGTTGGACCCCTTTTCAGCAGCATGACCAGGGTTGAATTTGATTTTCGTCATTTTCATATTTACTGTTTCTGAGTTGGAATAAAATCAAAATTGTGTGGTTTTTGGATGATAAATACAGAACTGCTTCACAAAATTAGATTAAGGTTGAATGGAAAGTTTTGAACCACTAAATTTACAGCCATTTTATTTGAACTTTGGTGGATATTTGTCTCATTGGCAATCATACCTAATTCAATTTTTATCTTTTTGTCATTTACTGATTGTTTTACTGAACTTTCCATAGTTATAGCTATAGTACTTGTTTGTTCAAACAATTTAAAATTTTAAATATAAAAATAAGGAGATGTGGTATGATTGCCAATGAGACAAGAATATATCCACCAGAGTTCAGATGAAGTGGATGTAAGCAATTATGGACAATAAGAAAAACCCATATGGTAAAAATGGCAATAAAAGGCAGCGACATGAAAAAGTGTCAAACAATTCAAACAAGAAAACTAACGGCCTAATTTATAAAAAAACAATTTAAGAAAAACAAATATAACAGACATGAATCAATGCATATGACAACCACTGAACTACAGGATCCTGACTTGGGATTGGTACATAAAGAATATGGCAGGGTTTAACATGTTTGTGAGCGATCAACCCTCCCCTAACGTGGGACAGTGGTGTAACAGTACAACATAAGAACAAACTATGAAAATCAGTATCTATTGGCTTAACTCGAAATATCAGTACGAGGAAAAATTCAAATAACATAAAAACAATAGACACCAAGCAACAAAATAAGAGTACTCCCAGTTACTGAAAGCTAGTTCAAATACAATTACAACTTATGAATAAAGCATGTTATTCCAGACTTAAGTTACTGTATCAATCAGTACACACCAAATGGATTTAGAGTAAAGACGTCATAAACAGGTTGAGAAACGCATGACCTTGTGCAATGCCAAAATATAAGTAAATATATATACAGTATCAACAGGATGTAGGATAATGAGTTACCGTACATGTCATAACAGTAAATATAAAGCAATATAATTAAATTATGTTTTAATTTTTCAAAAACAAAATTAATGTTAGAACCAATAAAAACAATATTTAAATATTTTACTACTGTGTTAAATTGATAACCTTTAAAAAAAAGTTTATTTAAGGGATCAGTTAGTTTACATGGATTGTATCTAAATTTACGGGCTATGTAATCAACATCACTGCAAAAATTAGGGTATCATATCCCGTTTTTGATAAGAACTCTTCAGGTTCAGCCAAATTTCCTAACTAAATCTTTGTTTCTATGAAAGAATTTGTTAAAGGTTTTAATTAATTTGTGGTAACGAAATCAACGCCTTAATAATTTATTGGTGATACATAAATTACGTTATAATCTATGTATAAATCTATAAAGTGACTACAGACACGACCATAGCGAACAATTTGTGGAATATACACACAGTAAGAAGGGGCAAAAGAATGTTCCTGTCAAAAAAGGAATTTTAAATCGGGAAACTGAATATTGTGTCATAGATCAAACTTATTCATTCAGTGTATATTTACTTGTTTTTGTTATTGTCTTTTTGATCGAGTTAAGCCATTTCAATTGATATTTTATTGTGTGTATTTTTATGTTGTAATGTTATACCACTGTTTCAGGTTAGGTTGAAGGTTGGCACATGTTAAAACGTTTAAACCCGCTGCATTTTTATGCATCTGTCCTAAGTCAGGAACCTGTTGTTCAGTGGTTGTCGTTTGTTGTTGTGGTTCATAAGTGTTTCTGGTTTCTCGTTTTTTATATAGATTAGACTGTTGGTTTTCCTGTTTGAATTGTTTTACACTAGTCTTTTTGGGGCTCTTTATAGCTTGCTGTTCGGTGTGAGCCAAGGCTCCATATTGAAGGCCTTACTTTGACCTATAATTGTTTACTTTTTACACGTTATGACTTGAATGGATAGTTGTCTCATGTCACTCATACCACATCTTCTTATTTATAAATCTAGAAAAGGACAATTACAGCTGTCTGTATTAGATTTATTTAAAGTAAGTGCCATTGGTGGTTGGGAAAAGATCATGTAGAGATCGAGTTTGGTCGAAATACACAAATAATTTACTGATCATTACTCAATCATCTTGACCTTTGCTAGACTAATGTCTGATCACTCCCCGATCAACGCCATTCTGGTTGATCCGTGGTCCAGATTAACACGACCAATGCCTGATCGCTTCCCAGATCACTGCGACTTCTATTGTTTTTGATCCCAGAGCAACACAAACAATACCCTGATCACTACTCGACCAAATTAGACATTTACCAGTCATGGCCAGGGGCATTACTTAAACAAATAACTTTGAAAATTATCTATACAAGTTATGTTAAAAAATGGGCTATTTTAGATATTACTTATACATATAAGTAACTTTTGTAAACATTTTTTTATAGATGTCCATTCATACAGATTTTACTAGCTTTAACAAATTTTCACAGACATCTGGTTATTTTTCCAATGAAAAATTAAGACTAGTCCTCCTGAAACACTAATTGCCTTTCTGACGCACTTATCTTTCATATTGACGCTTATGGGTCAAAGATTGGTCTCTTGGGACTATTTAAATATCATTTTGGTTGCAAATCTTGAGGTAGACAGACATAAGGCCAACTAAATTTAATTAGTAGATTTTCATCCAAATGTTTGAAAAAAATGGGGCGGGTGGGTGGATTTTATTTTTTAATTTTTATTTCCTCTGAAACTCCATTACAATGAGTTCTTCATAAGCAAGGGTAATAATAAGCTTATGTCATGTTTATATAAGGAACTCTACATATTTCTGATTGGCAATGACTGTTCTGCATGTAATTGCTGCTTTAGAAACCGGAAATAGTAAATTTTCAAAAATAAAGAAAATCAGGGCGGAACAATTTCAGAGGTGCGGGCGGGGATGAAAATCTATCAATTAATTTTAATTGGCCAAATATTTTTGTCATTATTTTTAAAAAACTAACCTTGTATCTCTATACTCCTCTCAAATTTCATAAAGTCTTAATTTTATGTGATAAAATAATGTAAATTTCATAAAGATTACATTTAGTCCATGCTCCTATTGAAATTTAAAATAACTCCATTGAGTAATTTGATAATTTTTTAAAACAAAAATTACCTATATAAGTAACTAAAAAAAATAACTTGTTTAAGTTACGCCCCTGACTGTTTACTATTCAAGAGTTTTGCCCTTTAATTTGAGATATAGTCATTTATTTGGTTTCAGAATTACTGCAGACGGTTGTTAAGAAAAAGTTATTATCCATCAATTGTTTCTTATTATTCTGCACTAGACAAAATGATATGTATTTTTGTATCTGCAGATGAAGAGTATTCCAGTTCAGAAATCTGAAGATACAGCAACTGAAACTTGGATAAGTAGAAAACTGCCAAAGACAGTGTTGGAACAAGTAGGGGTGGAGCTTGTTGCTGAATGCTTTCGCTCTGCATTTCTACCAAATGTTCTTGGAGTTATTTGTATGAGAACTGAGGTTTGTACATGATTTTTTGTAGACTTGGGTGATCCTACTTATTTTCTCCTGTTTGTGAAAATATGAAGTCATTGTCATTTTAAAAAAAGGGGTCTCTGTTGGCAAGTGGTCTTAGTAGTTCATCTTCTTTATCACTTAAGCCTTTCGATACTGAGGTTGTGAGTTCAAAGCATGCATGATGCATGTCACTTATTCCACAAATAAAAACTTGTCGCCACTATATACCCAATAGGGCTGAAAGTGGGGTTAAATACCAACAATCATTAATCAATCATAGTAAGTAGATACATTCAAGGACATTTGAAACCAAAAATAACCCATTGTATTTCCAAACAAAAAGACTGGTGCAATATAGCAGGTAGGGACTTTGTTTCATTAGTCTTTATAATCTGCATACTTATGTACAATTTCCAGCAGAATGTGAATGGTTCTATCTAGTCACTGGCTTCCTCCACCAATAGAAACTAACTGCTGCAAAATAGCCAATAGTGCTGAAAGTAATGTTAAACAGGAACACTAAAAATCAATGCACAATGATGCATGTCCTTTTGAAATATTCCATGATATTTATTTTTCCATAAGGTGTTGGAGGTGTTGGCAGTCTAGTTTTTCCCTAGAGTGAGTCTGTTTATAACAGTTAGCATAAAAGAAAGTGAGGACATAAAAATAAGAAGATATGGTTTGATTGCTAATGAGACAACTCTCCACCAGAGACCCAGTTATTACAGATATAGCTAGAGAAATAATTCATAATAATAACAGCCAATCAAGATCTACAAAAAGTAATGAAAAAGCTAAAATGACAGAAATCTTTGGTTGACTCTTTATATGAGATGTTACCCTTGATAAACGATTTTAAACATTATTGGGCCAGTTTCTGTAACACTCTTATTATGATTGTATATAGAGAAACACTGTAAACAGGAATAATGATCAGCAAACGATATCTACAACTAGGTTGATATGACTATAATTGTCACATGGCTCCTTTTATGAATTATATCCCTTGAATGCCAATTTTTGTGAAAAAAAATGCAGTTTTTGGCTTACAGTGTGAAAATGGTTACAGCTAGAAAGAAGGAGTCAATAGCAAAAAAGAATAACAAATCAAGATCTACAAAGAAGCTACATGTACATGACAGAAATAGTCGGTGTATGAGTTGTTGCCCTTGATTGAAGATTTTAAACATTTTTGGCCAATTTCTTCAATACTAATATAGAAAGAGAAAAATGTAAATAGCCATCATGATCATCATAATAAGATCTACAATTAGGTCAATATAGTTCAAAAAGAGGTTGGTATTGATTTTTACCATCACTTGGCGTCCATCGTCGTCATCGTCCGTCCAGTGTAAACTATTTTAAACATCTTCTTCTCTGAAACTACTAAACCACTTCCAACCAAATTTAAGCTGAATAATCCTTAGGGTATCTAGAATAAAGTTTGTGTTTTATTTTCTGTTTTGTCAAAAAACCTGACCACGATGGCTAAAAATAGAACATAGGGGTAAAATGCAGTTTTTGGCTTTTATCTTAAAAACTAAAGCATTTAGAGCAAATCTGATGAGGTACAAATGTTCATTAGGTCAAGTTCTATCAGCCCTGAAATTTTCAGATGAATCTAACAAACCATTGTTGGGTTGCTGCCACTAAATTGGTAATTTTAAGGAAATTTTGCAGTTTTTGGTTATTATCTTGAATATTATTATAAATAAAGATAAACTGTAAACAACAAAAATGTTCAGCAAAGTAGGATCTACAAATAAGTTTTTATATGACCAAAATTGTCAACTGACCCCTTAAGGAGTTATTGCCCTTTAAAGACAATTTTTCACAATTTGTTCTTCTAGTTTGCTTACTTTAAAAATTCTTCTCCTTTGAAACTGCTGAATCAATTTCAGCCAAACTTGGGCTGAATGAGTTTTAGTGTATCTAGTATAAATTTTGTATTTCATTTCCCTGTACGTCAAAAAACATAGCCACTATGGCTAAAATGGAACATAGGGGTAACATGCATTTTTTTTTGCTTTTGAAAAAAATATGACAGATACAAAGAACATTTAAATGGCATTTTTAAGCCACTCGTTAATATATATTGAAAAGCAAAAATAATCATTGATGAAAGATTTAAGCAGAAAATTACAGGTGAGCGATTCAGGCTCTTGAGAGCCTCTTGTTAGGATTATGCCCTTTCATTTTCAAAAAAGGACCAACAGCCACTGAAACTATTTCTTTTTTACTGTTTTTATTAAACACTCGTCTACAGTGAATATATCATGGTATACTCTTGTCCCTCTGTTTACCATGTGAAGCACTAACTAATTTCCTTCTAGACTGATTTTTTGTAATATTTAGTTGATAATTTATAGTCATGTAATTAGTATTTACAGCTTTGTGTTTTCTTCAAGTTGTCCTACTTTTGACCTAGTTATGGCTTGGAATGTGTCCCTCCCTTATCTGCCCTTCTTTATATTGATATTGAGTTGAGAATCATATTTTGTATACAATAGTGTGTGATAAAAAGTTAATGGTCACATATAAGAGTTGTTCAAGTTGACCTACTCTTGCCACATCCCTGTCTTGAAATAAAGGTTTTCTAGCTTTGTTGTCTTTAACTGTTGCAGAAATTGGGTTGATATTTGTATATTATATATCTTAATGAGTAGTTCACAAAAGAGTTTCTGTAGTTGATCTACTAATCATTAAATTTTCCTATTGAGACTGTTGAACTTAGATAATCCCATGAAAATCAGAGTTTAATCCGTTGTTGCATTAATTGCCAGGTTTTCTTGCAGATATTGATTTCATATATTTGTATAATTGAATAATGATAATTTACATATGAATTTTGTTCAAGTTGTTCACTTTTGACCTAATAAAAGCCTTTTTACTTAGAAAATTTAATACAACAAACGTTTTGAACCTCCCTTGTCAGCCATTGTTGCAGAAATTGAATTGATATTTGGTATAAAGAGTAGTTACAGATCATTATTGAATTTTGTTCAAGTTGACCTACTTTTTATCTAACTACAGCTCTTGCTTTTTTTAATTTTGTTTTGATTGAATTAAGAATGTGTGAGTTTTTGAGCTGAATGTTAAACCTCTTGCAAATGTTGAGTTGATATTTTGTATGTAACTATGTAATGAGAAGTTACAAAATTTATATTAGTTTCATTCCAGTTGACCTTCTTTTACCTTATTTATATTATGATATTTGTCCAAGAAAATTTTGAGAAATCTAGTAATTTGCATTGATGCCATGTGAACAATACAGACTCTTTTGAGCCTCTAGTTTATTTAGAATATAATTTTGATGGGGTTTATTCATTGCCTGTCTGCATTTTGATAATTTGAATCAGATTTGTGTTACTTCTTTATCCAATTTGGATCAAATTTTTTTTATTGAGTTTTTCAGTTTCAGTAATATGGCAAGGGGTTTGCATAGCTTGTTGTATTTTCCAAGGTGACAGAGACCAAAGGCTAAAAATATCACAGTTTTGAAGGGTGCATAGAATTTTTCATTTTTATCCATTTGGACATTTTGGATGGATTTTTTTTCCATGAGATCCTCATAAAAAAGAAACAGTTTCATCCACAGAACTTCATATGTCCACCCTTCTTTTTAAAGAGCTCATGTTCATCTTTTCAATTTGACATGTTTCAGTTATATCATTTAGAGCCTGTTGTAGCTCCTTTTATTAAAATAAACTTAAGCTTGTTCAATTATCCTATGTAAACATGGCTGGTATTTAGCTTTGGCAAGTCGAGCCCTTTTTTCCATTTCAACCAAATCAGTTGCTTAATACACTATAATGAGGTTGAATGTTTTTCAGGTCATATTTGTTTACCTAACCATAGCATCTGATCATGTGAAGACAATTAGGAATAATGAAGAAATTGGAAATCGAAAAGCTTGTATCCATTACACAGAAGCATTTGATATAATGAAAAATGAAGACAGAAAAAAAATATCTGAATTGTTGTTTTGGCTTGGATGTGTGCAGAAGTGCAATCTGCATAGATATTATTTGAAGCAATGATAAAGGAATTTGTAGTAGTTCCTTAAGGATGATATTTAGCCTACGGAAATATGTGACAATTTCCTCAATTTGACTCCTTTGCTGCTTAAAAAGCAACACTTGTCACTAGCCTCACAAGACCTACAGCACAATGTATCAAAAATATTATAAAACCATGTCCGGATGAACTTTACAAGATTTATTGACAATGAATGGAATTGAGTCAATTGCATATTTATCTGCACTTTGATTGGAGGCACCTGATTTCATCTGTTTGTACAATACTTTACAGCTTTTGTTTATCTACTCCTTCTTGATTAGGTTCAACAAAACATGTTAGTGGATTTCAATGCCATTTCCATTAAGAAAGACAAACTTTTACTTAATGGCTATCTAGACCAGTCAATGCTACGTGTTATTACAAACTGGTTAGACTTGACTTATATGTAAAATTAATACATGTTATTTAGTGAACAAAACAGTTTGTTATATTGCATAACTAGTAAGATTCATGAGTTTTCATTTGACTCGAGATCTTTGACCAAATAGTTTTACAGGAACTTACATGCATCTTTTAACAAATGTCTAGTAAGTGAACTGCAAATTTATTTCGTTGACATATTGTTGAAGGATTAGATTGACATCATCAGGTCCTGGTTTCCCCTATCTAGTCTGCAACACATATTGACAAAATTTACAATTCTCTTAAAGTGTTGTTGTCAATCTAGTGGTATTAAATTTTTTTTGCTGACAACAATGCATACCATCATTTATCCACAAATGATTCTCTACCAATACGAAATTTAAAAGCATTGGTTCTTACAGTGTTTTTGGTTTGAAATTTCATGATATATTTATGACCGAATAAATGAAATTCAATTTTATGGCATACCGTGTTCACCAGATAACATTCTTTTTCAGTATCAATCAAATTGCAACTTTCATTTTATTGTATAGATACAGAACATAAATAAAGAACTGCTGAACCAACGCCTCTTAAATTTCGTATTGGTAGAGATCCTTTCAGTTGATAATGATGGTTTGCTGGGTTGTCAAGAGAAAGTAATATAATGCCACTAGATTGACAACAACACTTAAGTGAAATGAAAATTTATTTTGTGACATGCTTTGCCAACTAGATTGGCCACACCAGGACCTGATGACACGTCTAATTGGCAAAACATGTTGATGAAATAAATTTGCAGTTCACTTCAGTCACTGTAGTGGTATAAACAAAACATGAAAATATAACATTATAGGAAGCTTGTTGAAATAAACTGTTGAAACAGACATATGTCCTGTCATTTTGTAATATTGATAGTTTAATGCAAATTAAATATTGAATCCAAATGGCAATATTTAAACATTTAAATATGTTAACTATGTAAAGTGTTCAAAGTCACTTAAGGTGCAGGACCAAATAATCTCCATGGAAATAAGAAATGCCAATGCTTATAAAACTGCATCAAATACCTTTTACTTACATAAGTGGTTATCTTAATACTAACCTTAACACAAACTTTAACTTGTAAACAATGTAAAAAATTCAAAAGTCAATGAACCCTGATAAGGGGTGGGGCCAAATAATCTCCATGGAAAAAGAAGACTTGCAAAGGCTTATACTATCATTGACTTAACATAAACTGATCTAATCACACACTTTAGCATGTAAACTATGCAAAACATTCAAAGTTGATAGACCAAGACTGAGGGGTTGGAGCCAAATAATCCCGTGGGAAATAGATGTACCAATGCTTATGCATCTGCATACCAAATATCATTGAGCTAGCACAAGTGGTTCCTCTCAAACTAATACATGTTAAGTAAGCAGACGTTTCAAAATCAATAAACCATGACTGAGGGGACAGGACCTAATTATTGCCATGGAAATGAGATGTACTAATGCTAATACAACTGCATACCAAATATCATTGACCTACCACTAGTGGTTCCCCATAAACTTACCTAATCACAAACTAATACATGTTACATAATCATAAGTTTCAAAGCCAAAGTCATACACTTCAGGGGCGGATCTGGCCATTTTTAAAAGGGGGGTTCCCAACCCAGGATAAAGGGGGGGGGGCGTTCCAACTTTATGTCCCCATTCAAATGCATTGATCGTCCAAAAAAAGGGGGGGTTCCAACCCCCGGAACCCCCTCTCTGGATCCACCACTGCACTTTAGAAAATAGTCCTTACCTATTCAGCATTAGCTACGAGATGTGAAATAAATAAGATATGAGTTGTTTTTGTTCAGTCATTAATGAAAGTGAAATAGTGAAATAATAAGAATGTCAAGGTCGAAAGTGATAGTTGACTGATTAGATCCACAAAAAAGTCATTCTCAAACAGTTAAAAACGATGATAAACATACTTTTTTAACCTACTGTATGAAATGAAACAGACCTAGTAAAATCTAAATGCACGTGGTTGCTATCTATTTATATTTATGTTTATATCGGGTTATATGACCGTCGACAGTCTTCGGAGGTCATCTCGGGGGTTAATTAGATGACGTCTAGACAAAAATACACTCGAAATGTTGATACATATAATTGAGTCCATGCATTGTTTATTGTTTATTCTAGACTTTATAATTTGGATATAGGTATAAGTATGTTATCAATCAAATATGAGAATTTGACAGCTATTGTCCCATTAATATACTGGGACCTGAATCCAAATGTAGAAGACATGTTTTATGTGTAACTATAAGGATTAGGATGATTGATTATGATGATTATTCTACAAAAATAGTCAGTGTTGAATTTATTAGCATCTAACGTTTGCAAAACATAAAATTAACAGGTACAAATGATGCCTTACATATAGTTGTTCTTTAGTTATGTCCATATCACAGCCTTCTTTCGGTAATATAGTGAATATTTCTATTATAGTATATAAATTACCTTTACCAACTGGGACATGTATATTTGCCTGGATAGTACTTTTTTGGACTGAATATGATTTTTTTATGGGATTCTAAACAGTGTGTAGAATACAATTAATAATCAATAGGTGTTTTTAAGCAGACATGATTTTGATATTAAGTATGGGTTATAAGTTTAGTTGTTACATTCCTCAAGTAGACAGTATTCAGTGGCCGATCGAAATGTGGGGGTAGAGGTCGTTCGCCCCTCCCCCGTTTGATCGACAGAAAAAACCTAAATTTTTTCACGATTTTTATGAAATTTTATTATGAAATCGTCCAAAAAAATTGTATAATCTTTTTTATGGAATTGCGTCCCCCTCTCTAAAACCCTTGATGCCCCTGGTATTAATTTGAGAATACTATTTTTCAGTGCATAACATGTTGTGTTCAATAATGATAATAGGAATTATGTGATAGTCACTTATCATTCCAACATATTGTGCGTTGGACATCAGATTTTGAGGGCCATTTGAAAGGATCAAATAATAAATCATGTCTTAAAGAAACAGTGTACATTAAAGTGCTAATCCAGGCAGTGGATGATACTTTGAGAATAACATCGTTTGCATTTATATGTTAATGCGTGTCCAATGGCGGTATAAGGAAACCATTTATTCTATTTATAGCAATTCATATTTAGAAAAAAAATCAATATGTAGAATGCCTATTGAATTTAGATCAGTAATCATGTCAATTAATTAAAGGTGGGGTTAGGTTGCTAAGCATATCTACACGTAATAGTTCATTCATCAATTTAACGTCGGGTTTCAAGATGAAACACCCCTGGTTTTTATGAGGTTCGTGTTGCTCAGTCTTTTGTTTTCTATGTTGTGTTTTGTATACTGTTGTTTGTCTTTTGCTATTTTTTTCTTTTTTGCTATGGTGTTTTCAATTTATTTCCGACTTATGAGTTTGAATGTCATATTTTGTCGAGCCTGCGACTTCTGTCGCAGAAAGTCGACATAGGGATAGTGATCCGGCGGCGGCGGCCACGGCGGCGTTTAACAAACTTCTTAAAAGCTTAATATTTCAGAAGGTAGAATACCTGGATCCTTCATACTTTGTATATAGAAGCCTTATAATATGAAGTTTCCGTCTGTCATATGTCCATTGTCCTTGAGCTCATTTTCATGGTTCAGTGACTCCTTGAAAAAAAAGTTCAGATTTTTGTCTCGCCTGAGACGAAAGTCACAGAATGCGAGACATAGGTATTACTATCCGGCGGCGGTGGCGTAAACTATTTGTTTAAAGCTTTATATTTTAGAAGGTAGAAGACAGACCTGGCTGCTTCATACCTTGTATACAGATACCTTATGTTACGAAGTTTCCATCTGTCATATGTCCAATGTCCTTAATCTCATTTTCATGGGTCAGCGACTGCATGAAAAAAAGTTTGAGTTTTTTTGTCATGCGAATTCCTCACTTATTATGAGTAATAGGATAACCATATTTAGTATATGTGTTCCATGTAACGTCTACATGTCCGTCAGACAGGGTTCACCTGACCTCGACCTCATTTCATGGATCAGTGATCAAGGTTAAAGTTACGTGATTAGGTCTGTTTCTCAAATACTATAAGCAGTAGTTCAACTATATGTGGTGTACGGACTGACTGTACATGGGAACATGTCAGTCTGGCACGTCTCATCTGACCTTGACCTCATTTTCATGGTTCTTTGGTTAATGTTAAGTTTTTAAAGGCAGTGCTTTAATGCCTTTCTAGTTGCCGTGTTAATATTTCTTTCCGCGATATCCAACTTATCTACGTGGGGGGTCATTTAGCTCCAAGTAGATCCGGAAAATGTTGATTCTCTCCTCTTCTTATTGTGGTATAAAATGTTTTTTGTCTCATTTCATTTACATTGGGAAATAGAGAAACGATCATTGTGTTTTGTTAGTTTTAAAAACTTTTGATATATTTGTATTTTACATTATAAGCAGTCAACCGATTGACAAACTAGAATGATTTGAATTCCGTGTGGAAAGAGGTCGGGTTAATTTCGAGTGTTATCTGCAATCTAGATGTTTATAAATCATTTCAGTCGTTGATAAAATAATTAAAGGTCGACTGAACATGAATTATATTATACAATTTAAAGCGCATTTCTGTTTATGCACGCGAACCCGTCTAACGTTATTGTTATTTCGCAGTTATATAAAGTAGCAAATTATCGTTCCTGAATAGGTGGCGCCGTGGTAGCCGATCCTGTACTTCAACTTCCGGTTTCTGCACTGTGCAACTATTACATTTGCATTTTTAATTAACGATGCCAAGTACTTGTTGTTGTGTACCTGGATGTCATTTAAGAGGAGGACATGCATTTCCAAATGACTTAAAAAGAAGGAAAAGTTGGATCAACGCCATGGCCCATACGCAGATTGGACGAGAACACGATGAAATCGTGGAGTCCATCTCAATCAGCTGTTGTTTGCAAGGCACATTTTACTGAAAAAGACTACGTGCAGGAAACTATTCATGGTAAAACTCTATTTTCTTTTTAAAATATATAGTTATATATGTAATCGCCATGCGAATAAATCAGTTTACAACCGCAATTATCGTTTTAGAATAAAAGGGGGTGGTTAATTCAAGACGTCATAATTTTTTGGATTACGATTCAATGTGATCTGTTTGAGATTTTTTGGTGCTTGCTACAATTATAATGATTTCTTACAAGAGGTATATCATACTGAGAATTATTTTAGCAGTAATTATGCTTATGTAGTAATGACAGGAATGCATAAGCTATGCCTCATAGACTTTCTTGAAAAATATCAATGACAATGTTAACAGGAACAAAACAATGACATGCTCTCATCTATATTATAGTTATTTAGGTACAAACAATGTATGTTTGTTGCATACGTCTCTCATTGTTTGTCCTTTGGATTTACATAACATACATTTTGATGTACATTGAATCAGGCTAACATAGTTTTATCCAGATTGTAATGAATAAATCTAGATAATATTTTGCCAGGTTACGAGTACAAAGGAATTATAGTTATCTCGTACCATTGTAACTCGTACCAATGTCAACTCGTACCACTAAACAAAAACTCGTTCCAATGCAAACTCGTACCACTGCTAACTCGTACCACGGTAAATTCATACCATTGTAAACTCGTACCAACTTATTTAAATGCATTCAAATGGTGTTTAATGATGAATATATACTTTAATTTCACTCTTTTTAAAACTTTTACTGACAACTATTTGATTTAATTTTTAATCATTCCAAATCAGTAACATTGAATAGATTTGGGTATTTTTCTATTGTTTCTAAAAGGAATTTTATTTAATGAAATAATTTATTGATTGTGTTTTAAAGGTTGAAAATTGTTTATGACCAACA